CCAAGCTCTTTCCCACCACACACGGTGCGTAAACGCAGCGGCGTGTAGCGTGGATGATAATCACGGCCCGCAGGACGGAGCGCCGGCATTGCACGCTGCTCCTATCGTCCGTCACCAACCCACGGCACTGCGCGATGCACCCCCGCACGCGAATCTGGACAGGATCATGCGCGCTGAAGACCTCGTGGAGGTTCAGCATCTGACGCGCCGTCAGGAAGGACACAGGCAAGCCCACCTCGTGCGTGGAGCAACGATACTGCTTCTGGTCGTTCGTCGCCGCCATGAACTTCCGCAGCGACTCTTGCGACGCCCAGGTGCCGGCCGACAGGGCGTCGACATCGAAGTCGTGGCCGCCTTCCTTCGCCATGCTCAAGCCCGTGCGAACGACAACGTAACCTCGTGCAGCCATTGTCACGGCCGCCTGACAATCGACGTCCCATAACCGAACCAGCTCCTCGCCCAGTCTCTTCCAAGCCACTGGTCGGTGCCAATGTTTAGCACTCACGCCCTCGTCGTCTCCGATGTCCGTCCTCCTTCTCTTTACATCGGCGCTGGAGGAAGCAGGAGCCACGCTCGTCGCCGCGGGCATGCAAGCCTGCACCCGTGTGACCACTTGCTCACCCACGCCAGCCCTCCGTGCGATGGCTCCTATGTCCAGCCCCTCCAGCGAAGCCAAAACAATGACAGCCACTATCCGTGCTGCGGCACCTCGGCCCGAAGGGTCATACCAAGGGCTACCCAACAACACCGATGGGCGACCCGACTTGCACCTCTCCGTCTGTGCACCATCCACGCCCGCATTGGCAGCAACGCCCCCGCATTGCCACCGAATGCGATTCTCATCGGCTACCGCGCCTGTCACCGCCCCCCACTTCTCGCAGACAGGCGCCGGTCCCCAGAAACCTCGCGCTATCATCGCGTCGGCCACTGCTTGGGCAGGCGCCCTCTCAACTTGTTCGGACGTAAGCTCACCCGACTCGCAAGAGTCGCCAGCGCCGCCACATAGCGTGAGCACGTAGTGGAGGCTGGACGGCATGCCATCGATAGACGGCTCGACTCCATGAACAATTGTTGATGCATCGTCCCTATCCGCTGTCATGGCCCGAGCCGCGACTTTCAAGGCTTGCATATCCCCCCAACACTCTGTTATTGTGAGCCCTCGACAATCATGGATATTTCTCTCCCTCGCCCTCTTCATCTGGTCCTCCTCCTCCCCCTTCCTCCTCTTATTATTCCTCCTCCTGCTCCTCCTCCTCCTCCTCCTCCTCCTCCTCCTCCTCCTCCTCCTCATCTACTCTCCCATGCCTGTTCGGAAGAGGTCCGACTCGGCCCGGCCGAACTCGGCCGGTCGAACTCGGCCACGCTGAACTCGGCCAGGGTGCTGTGGGTGCTGTAGACGCTGTAGGTGCTGTGGGTGCTGTAGGTGCTGCAAGTGCTGTAGGTGCTGTGGGTGCTGTAGGTGTTGTGGGTGCTGTAGGTGCTGTGAGTGCTGTAGGTGTTGCGGGTGCTACTGGTGCTGTAAGTGGTGTACGTGATGTAGGTAATGCGCGTGCTGTAAGGGCTGTGGGTGCTGTAGGTGCTGTAAGTGCTGCGGGTGCTATGGGTGTTGTTGGTGCTGCAGATACTGTAGGTGCCGTGGGTGCTGTAGGCGCTTTAGGTGCTGTATGTAATGTGGGTGATGTAGTTGTGTAGGTTCTGCAGGTGCTTTGGGTGCTATAGGTGATGTAGGTGCTATGGGTGCTGTGGGTGCTGTGGGTGCTGTAAGTGCTGGAGGTGCTGGAGATGCTGGAGGTGTTGGAAGTTCTGTAGGTGCTGTAGGTGCTGTGGGTGCTGTCGACGCTGTGGTTGCTGTAAGAGCACTGGGTGCTGTGTGTGCTGTGGGTTCTGTGGGTGCTGTCGGTGCTTTAGGTGATACGGGTGCTGTGGGTGCTGTGGGTGTTGCAGGGCCTGTGGGCGCCCTGGATGCTGTAGGCGCGGTAGGTGTTGTAGGTGGGTGATGCAGGTGCTGTGGGTGTTGTATTTGCTGTAGGTGCTTGGCTGTAGGTCCCGTGGGTGCGGAAGCTACTGTAGGTGCTGCAGGTGAGTTAGGTGATGTGGGTGCAATGGGTGCTGCAAGTGCTGTGGTTACTGAAAATGCATCAGGCGCCGCGGGTGCTGTAGGTGCGGTAGGTGCTGTGGGTGCCGTGGGTGCTGTATGTGCCGTAGGTGTTGTAAGTGTTGTAGGTGCTGTTGGTGCAGTGTGTGCTCTAGGTGCTGCAGTTGCTGTGGGTGCTGCAAGCGCTGTAGTTGATGTGGGTGCTGCAATTGCTGTATGTGCTGTAAGTGCGGTAGGTGCTGAACGTGCTCTAGGGGTTGTTGGTGCCGTGGGTGTTGTAGCTGCTGTATGTGATGTAGGGGCCGTGAGTGCTGTAGGAGTCTTGTAAGTACTGGAGATGTTGTGGGTGCCGTGGTTGCTGTATGTGCTGTAGGTGCTACTGGTGCTGTGGGTGCTGTAGGTGGAATGTGGTTGCTGTGGGTGCTGTAGGTGCTGTACGTGCTGTGGGTGTTGTGGGTGCTGTAGGTTATGTAGGCGTTGTGGGTGTTGTGGGTGCGGTAGGTGCCGTGGGTGCTGTAGGTGCTGACGGTGCTGTACGTGATACGGGTGCTGTGGATGCTGTGGGTGCTGTATGTGTTGTAGGTGATGTAGGTACCGTGGGTGCTGTGGGTGCTGTAGGTGATGTGGGTGCCGTGGGTGCTGTAGGTGATGTACGTGCTGTAGGGGGTGCTGCAGGTAGGTGCTGTATGTGCTGAGTGTGCTGTGGGTGCCGTGGGTGCCGTGGGTGCTGTGGGTGATGTAGGTGTTGTAGGTTCTGTCGGTGTCGTGGGTGTCGTTGGCTGTGGGTGCCGTGGGTGATGTAGGTGCTTCAGGTGCTGTAGGTGTCGTAGGTGATGTAGGTGTGGGAGCAGTAGGTGCCGTGGCTGCTGTAGGCGCTGTGGGTGCCGTGGGTGCAGTAGGTGCTGTAGGCCATGCTGTATGTGCTGTAGGTGCCGTGGGAGTTGCAGGTGCTGTAGGTGATGTAAGTGCCGTAAGAGCCGTAAGTGCTGTAGGTGTCATGGGTGCTATAGGTGCGTTGGGTCCTGTATGCAGGTGCCGTGGTTGCTGTGGGTGCTGTATGTGCTGTAGGTGCTGTGGGTGCCGTGGGTGCTGTAGGTGCTGTAGGTGCTGTGGGTGCCGTCGGTGCTGTGGGTGCCGTAGGTGGTTGTAGGTGCTGTATGTGCTCTATAGGGAGGTATTGTGGGTGCTGTCGGTGCTGTAGGTGATGTAGGTGCTGTGGGTGCCGTGGGTGCTGTGGGTGCTGTAGGTGCTGTAGGTGCCGTGGATGCCGTAGGTGCTTCAGGTGTTGTGGCTGCCCTGGGTTCTGCAGATGATGTCGGTGATATAGGTTTCGTTTGTGCTGTAAGTGCTGTAGATGCTGTGATGTTGTTGGTGCCGTGGGTATTGTACATGCTGTGTTGCAGGTGATGTACGTGCCGTGGGTGCTGCAGGTGCTGTAGGTGTTGTAGGTGCCGTGGGTGCTGTACGTGCTGCAGGTGCTGTAGGTACCGTGTGTGCCGTGGGTGTCGTAGGTGCTGCAGGTGCTGTGGCTAGCGTGGGTGCTGTAGGTGCTTTAGTTGCTGTAGGTGCTCTAGGTGCTGTAGGTGCCGTGCCCCGCCACTCCAGGTTCCAAGATGCGGGATGCCCTGGCCCAGGGTTTGAGCAGAAGTGACCAGACCACTTTCGCCATAGATATCCTCACAACTCTGCTCTCGGAGATGCCCTGCCGATTTGTGGTGAGGGCAAGTTCGCTTGAGACATCCTCGCAACTCTGGGTTCCGAGATGCCCTCTGCTGGGGCGGTCAGGCCACTGCCGCCTGAACCATCCGCGCAACTCTGACGGGTTCGGCGAACCTGCGAAAGAAGCAGAGCGGGCACAACTGCTATGAGCAGGATGCGGGGGAACAGGGATAGCAGTGGGAGTAGGGTGAGGAGTATTAGAGTGTAGGAGTAAGATGAGGAAGGAGTAGGAGTAGGGAGTATGGAGTATGAGTAGGGGGTAGGAGTATGTGTATGAGTAGGGAGTATGAGCGGGGATCGTCTTCGTCATCGTCGCCACCATTGTCGTCGTCGTCGTCGTCGCCGTCGTCGCCCCGCTCGGCCCCCCTGCTCGGCCGGCCCGCCTGCCGGCTCGGCTCGGCCGATGGAGGAGGAGGACACGAGGAGGAGGCCGAAGAGAAGGATGAGGAGGATGAGGATGAAGAGTGGTATTCACGGCCCGTTTGCTTCAGACATCCTCGCAACTATGTGTTCCGGGAACTCCTCATCTAAGGTGGTCGGACTCGGCCGGTCTGGACTCGGCCGGGCGAACTCGGCCGGACGAAACTCGGCCGAGGCCCGACTCGGCCGGTCCGACTCGGCTGGCCAGTCGGACTCGGCCGGGGCGCAACTCGGCCAGATGCGACTCGGCCGGCGGATAAACTCGGCCGGCCGAACTCGGATCGGTCGGACTCGGCCGGGTTTGGACTCGGCCGGTTCGAACTCGGCCGGGCTGGCGCTGCAGCCAAAGCGCCGGGCCGACTCGGCCAGGCGCGACCCGGCCGGTCTAACTCGGACCGGTCGGATCCGGCCGGGCCGAGCTCGGCCAGGCCGGACTCGGCCAAGCGAGACTCGGCCGGCCAGACTCGGCCGGCCGAACCCGGCCGGCGAAACTCGGCCAGTTCGAACTCGGCTGGCCGAGTTCGACCTAGCCGAGTTCCGCCTGGCCGAGTTGGACCGGCGCCCGTCTTCCCATGGGCCAGCTTCTGGGCAACAAAGGCCCTTAGAAAGCTACGTTTCAAAAGTTCCGGATACGTCTTTGTACTGAACCGTCGCGCCCCCCAGATGCCCCAGGCCGCCCCTTGAGGCCGAACACGCGCCTCCTGCAAGCCCAGACGGGCCTGGGAAGCTCCAGGGAACTGGGAATGGGGAAAGCCGCCGAGGAAACCTCGTGCAAAGATACCACTCACCCACTCGTCGACAATAATGGCGAGATGAGCCGAAGGCCAATGTATAAACGAAGCCCTCGACCAACGCAGAGCAGTCGCACTGACCGAAACTATTCTTGCCACAGGACACAGCTGCGCCGTCGCTCCTGAGCAGGACAGCGTGGCACATCCCTATGGCAACCTGCGTATAAGTCAGGCCGCCGATCAACGCTGGGAGATCGCACTGGCCGATGTCATTCGGGCCACATGTCGCGGCAATGCCGTCGCTCCTGAGCAGCACGGCGTGGAAGAAACCAGCGAAAGCTTGCGAGTAGGTCAGGCCCGCATTCAGCGCGGGAAGGTCGCATTGACAATCTTCACTACTGCCGCGCGCAACGGCGGAGCCGTCGCTCCTGATGAGGACGGCGCGGCATCCGCCACCGTGCCAGCTGCACACTGGAGCGTAATAGTGCTGTCCTGCTGTCTGCTTATGCTACACTGTCGGTTGTTTTCACGGGCCGGCCCCCCTCGGCGCGCGCGCGAACTACGACTGGCCCAAGACAGCAACAACGCAGCCCATCAGGCCAAAAGAATCCCTCCAAGAGGACGCCCAAGAGGACTGCCAGAAGCCAAACGAATACAACCATCTAAAGCCCACCAGCCCTCTGGGCGTAGGCAGTTTAAGGCGTGTCCTCTGCGAACTCTCCTTTTCCCTTCGTGGAGAAGTTCCCCCGCGCCCCTTACCCCCCCCCCTAGCCCTGGACGAGAGGAGCCGCGAGGTGTCAAACGGTACCTTTTCGTCCAAGACGGCTCCAAAAGTGCCTCGGGGAGCCCAAGATGAGCTCCAAGATGGCTCAAGATAGCGCAAGATGCCTCAAGATGCTTCCGAAGATGCTCAAGAGGCCCCAATAACGCTCCAAGACGGTGCCAAGAGGCCTCCGAGACCTCCAAGGAAGCCTCGAAGAGGCCGACAAACACCTAGACACAACCGATGATTTGCTCCTTCTCGCTTTCACGCTCCAAGAGGCCTCAAGATGGCCTCAAGACAGGCCCAAGAAAAGCCCACGACGGCCCCAAGAACGCCCAGGAGCGCCCCAAGAGTGGCCCCGGAGGAGTCCATGAGAAGATCACGGAGGCCACAGAAGGGCAGGGCCCCTTTAAACTCCCTCTTCTTTTAATCAGTTTCCTCCAAGATGGGCCCCACTGGCGCCCGGGAGACCCCAGGAGGCCCCAAAAGAACCCCCGAAGATGGCCCTATGAAGCCTCTAAGAAGCTCCCAGAAGCCTCCGAGAGGCCGAAGCGGCCCCTAGAGGCCCCCCCGAGCACCAAGACGCCCAAGAGCCCCCCAGGACCGCCCAGAGACCCCCAAGACGACCGGAGAGGCCTCCAAGAAGCGCCCCAGCTATATCCCAAGAGGCTCCGAGAGGCATCCATGACACCTCTGGTCCTTTTGCTCCGCCTCCTCCTCCACCTCCTGCTTTTCCTTCCTCCTCCTACTCCTTCTCTCACTCTTCCACCGCGTCCTCTAATTTATCTTCCTTCTCCCCGCTCCTGAAAGTGAGGTTCCTTCCTGCTGCGCTGCTGCGCTTGCCTGGTGGCGCGGTCTGCCGCAGGCAGCTCGATAAGCCAGCGGCAATCTGTGTGTAGAGGAGGTCCGCGATCAACGCCGGGGGGTCGCATAGGCCGTCTTCATTGCGGCCGCATGCCACGGCGGCGCCGTCGCCCCTGAGCAGGATGGCGTGGTAGGATCCGGCGGCAACCCGCATGCAAGTGAGGCCCGAGACCAGCACGGGCAAATCGCACTGACCGAAATCATTGTTGCCACAGGCCACGGCGAAGCCGTCGCTCCTGAGCAGCACGGCGTGAGAAAGAGAGGAAGAGGAGAGAAAAAAAAAATAAAACGCAAAGACAACAAAAGAAGAAGAAGAAAAAGAAGAAGGAGAAGAAGAAGAAGAAAAAAAAAAAAAAAAAAAAAAAAAAAAAAAAAAAAAAAAAAAAAAAAAAAAAAAAAAAAAAAAAAAAAAAAAAAAAAAAAAAAAAAAAAACGCGCGCACGTAACGTCCCCGGGCAACCCTGGGAGGTCGCACTGACAAGTATCATTCAGGCCACAGGTCACGGCGGAACCGTCGCTCCTGAGCAAAACGCTGTGGCATGATCCAGCGGCAACCTGCGCGTAGGTGAGGTCTGCATGCAGCGCAGGGAGGTCGCACTGACGCGTCGCATTGTCGCCGCGTGCCACGGCGGAGCCGTCGCTCCTGAGCAGAACGGCGTGGGTAAATCCAGCAGCAACCTGCGCATAGGTGAGGTCCGCGACCGAGTGCCGCACGCCACGGCAGAGCCGTCGCTCCAGATCAGGACAGTGCGGCATCCGCCACCGTGCCCATATGCACGACGTGCGATGTCGTCCAATCCAAAGGAATGCGAGTTGTTGAACGTTGCAACATCCTATCGACCACCATCGCTGGCCCAAGAAGGCCTCGGGATAATTCGACCCCAGCCCCCCGCAGACCAGAGACCAGAGACCAGACGGCCCACAAAAGCCCAGTGATGGCCTCAAGACAAGCCCCACAGGGGAAACACGAACCAACAATCGGACCCTTCCGCCCGAAACTGCCGCCAAGGCCCCCGACAGACCCGAAATGACTCTAAGAGGTCACCACGAAGCCTCCACACGGTTTAAAGAGGCCCCAAAAACTCTCAAGAAACTCGAAAAGAGACCTCCTCAGCGAAAGGGGTCCCAAAGAGCCCCGAAGATGTTTGAAAACTGCTTCGAAGAAGAGCCCCAGAGGCTCCCCGCGATATCCCAACCAGCATTAGAGAAACAGTTCACACACAGCACGGGCACCAAAGCGGGATGGACCGCACGTTATTGGAGATTCATCAACAACATCATCGTCGCCATCACCATCATCACCATCATCATCACATCATCTTCATCATCATCACCACAAGCGTCGCAATCATCATCGCCCTGATCACATCACCAGCATCATCATCAAAGCAAACAACATCACTGCCCATCGCCCTCAGCATCACGACCGCACCCTAATCGAAATTCGCGTCGTCATCGTCATCATCGCTATCATCGTCACCGCCACCGTAATCACCATCATCAGCGTCTTCACCAACCTCATCGTGCTCATTCCCATGCTCACCGTCATGCTTGTCATCATCATCATCACCGGCCCCCTCGTCATCATCCTCATTCTCACGGTTTCCACAACGAACGCTCCTCTGGTGAAGCGGCGGTGGGCGCCGCAAGGCAGCTGGATAGTTCCAGAGCGTTGGACGCCTCCAGTGCGTAGGGCGCCTCCAGCGCGTTGGGCGCCTCCAGTGCGTTGGGCGCCTCCTGGTGCGTCCACCGCGGGTGACTCGGCAGTCGAAGCTGCACACGACATGCTATAAATCGACATGCTCGAACAAAACTTGCTCGAACCGGCAGATGCCCCCGGGCGCGTCCCCAGACCGGAGAATTACCCGGGGACGTACACAGCCCCTTGTACACATGAGGCGACTATACCCTAGGCCGCTCAATCCAACGAACAATGTGAAGATCCACCTTGCGCCCGAACGCTCTGAGGGGCCCACGAAGATGACGACGGTTTCGCTAATCGCAGTTCCCATGGACGGCGAGGAATCAATCGGACCTGCGCGGGGCGCGCTCCGCTGACCCCCCCAGAGCCCGCGAACGCGGCGACAATGGCGCAGTTCGCAGAAACCCCAGGGACGGCGACGCCTCATTCTGGTCTGCGTGCGCCACCTCTCCGCTGGACTCCCCATGGGGACCACGACAATGGAAAAGTTTCTCGGATCGCGACCCCCCCAGGGGCAGCGAGGTAGCACGGTGGCCCCCGTAAAGCATCAATCTGCGTGACTTCCCAGAGACCACGAACAGAACGACAGCTTCGCCAATCACAATCTCTCAGGGAAATTGAGGTTTCATGGCGATTTGCGTGGGGCACCGTGCCGCCGACACTCCCAGGGGCCAATGAAAGTGGCGACAGCATCACAAAACGCCGCCCCCCATCTCACGGTTGTTTGCGTGAGGCACCATTCCGCTTGACCTCCCACGGGCCCGCAGAATTGGCGACGGTTTCGCATGTCGCAGCCCCCCAGGAACGGCGAGCCTCATGGTGCTCCCCGACAGATATCATTCTGGCGGGCGTGCCAGGGGCCCACGAAAGCGGCGACAGTGTCGCAGATCGCAGCCCCCCAAGGACGGCGACGTGCCCTGATGGCCTGCATAAGACGAGCCTCCGTCGGGCCTCCCATGAGCCCACAAAAGTGGCGCCGATTTCGCAGAGCACAGCCCCCCAGGGCCAGGGAAGTCTTATGATAACCTGCGCGGCGCCATTCTGGTGGGCCCCCGTATCCTCTCGGTATCCAGCGTGCACGGGACAAGAAGATTGGAGGGCGGGAGAAGGAGGTGCACGCCACAATGCTCTACTCAAAACAAGTACCTCAACCGCCTGAGGGCTGGGTAGAAAGAGCGAGCCACATGGCTCCACTCCACCCCTACGGAATTGCAGGGGGCAGACGTCGAAACCAAGGTTTGCGGAAGTTCTCGCTCGCTCCTGGGAACGATGTCGCCCCGGAATGCTTTCCAACAGAGTGCGTCGCCGAGCGCGTTCGAAGCGGATCTGGATCGGGGCGCGCGGCTGCTGCAGCCCGAGGTATGACCCGAAAACCATCAGTCACACAAGTGGGAAGAAGAGTGATGGGGAGGGTGTAAACTATAGCGATCTGGAAGAAGCAGGTCATCTGTGGATGCCTCTTCTATGGCTGGGTGCGTCTTCGACCTTTGGAGGGGTTGCTAGGGGCGAACTTGGGATCCTTTTGAAGACTTGCGGGCTTTCCTTCGGCTCGCTGCCCGCGCCTTCAAATTCTGAAGAAGCGCTGTTGAACAGCTTCGGCACCACCGTGCACCATATCTGCAATCGCGCCCCCTGGCACGTTGACGCGTGCTAGAATGCCAAGTTCTGTCTGGTAGGGTTTCTGCAACCTTGCTAAGGGCCCCCCGCCCTCCTGGCACGCGCGCAAGCCCATGCGCCGCCCCCTGTTTTCGAAGCTCTATCGGTGCCCAGACGCGCCCCTGCCGCTCTCCAAGGCGTCCAAGACGCCAAGGACGGCTTCCCACGCGGACCTGGGAGGCTACCAAAGCCGCCAAGATGGCCCACGACGCCTCCGAGACGGCCCACGATGCCCCAAAAAGCCCCGAGAGCGCTCTAAGAGGACCCCCAAGAAATCCCCAAGAGGGCCCAAGAGACAAAAACAATTGCTTTTCATTATGTTTGTCAATGTTAATCACGTTGTCGCCTTTTCGAGTGCCGACACTCCAAGACAGCTCCAGGGGCCCCCAAGAGCGCCCCATGATGGCCCGAGGGGCTTCCGAGAGAGTCTCTAGACGTCCCAGGAGGGCCTCAGAAGAGCCCCAGAGGCGCCCATGACACACAACATTGCCCCCAGACAGGCCCAAGAGAGGCCCAAGAGGGGGAACATACACCGACAATTCGATCCTTCTGCCCGAAGAGTCCCCCAGGAGGCCCCAAGAGGCGTCCGAGAAGCCAAGGGGGCCCCGAGAGGCCCCCAACAACCCCCAAACAGCCAAAGAGGCCGCAAAGCTGCCTCCAATAAGCTCCCGGGAGGCCTCCCACGATATCCCAGCGAACATCCAAGATGCTTCCGGTACCCTCTCGAACAATCGCCACCGAGCCTGGTGGACTGCCACGGCGGCGGGACTTGCCGCAGGCAGCTGGATTAAATTGGGCCCCCCTCTCCTGGGAATCTCTTGGACCTCCTGGGCCGCTTTTGGGGGCCAAGCGCAGTCCTCTGGAACCCTTCTTGGGGCCCCCGTGAGACCTTTTGGCTTAAGCCGAGCTGGAGCCCTTGGAGCGAGACCAAGGACTACTCCGCGCCAGAGCCATCTTTTTGAGCAGCCCTGCAGACTCTCAAAGACCGCAAAGACCCGAAGAGAGCACGGTGGCGGTCTGGGCCGAATCAAAGCCACCACATGTCGCCGCCGCTTACCCACTGCGAAACCCGTCTTTCATGGGCACTGGGGCGCGCGGCGACGGCACCGGGCTCTCATGGGAGCTCGAAACTGCCACGCAAAGTTCGGCACCGGCGACAACAGCGTGGCACCTTTTCGACTTCTGGACGGCGCCTGGCGACTGAAGATGGCTGCCAGTATGAGTCCAAGTGGCCACAGAGACCCCCAGAGAGGAATCGAGAGCCCTTTACTCCGTCTGTTCACTGCCGCAACCTACTCATCATACTGATCGATCATCTCTGACCCATCATCTTGTGACTCCTCCCCCATCCACCTCCTCATCATCATGATCATCATCGTGATCATCATCACCGTTATCACCACCGCCACCGACATCATCATCATCATCATCACCATCATCCGCGAAGTCCGCATCATCATCTCCCCACTTCATCCATCCTCATCGCCCTGCTCATGATCGCCATCATCGCCAGCATCATCAGCATCATCACCATCACCATCATACGCATCATCATCATGAGCATCCTCGTCATCATCGTCGTCTGGAACGGTTCGTAGACATGCTACTGTGCTGACCTTCTGAGACAGGATGGCGGGCGGGAGTGAGGGGGGCGGCCAGCAGGCGGAATGGATAGCTTGACCCCTGCCCGCCCGCTAGCCGCCACGCTCACTTTTGGCGTAACCATCTCCCCCTTGCCAACGGTCGTCGAAGCCTCAAGATAGCCTGAAGAGCACCCAGGTGGAACCGAAGAGGGGCTCAGGTGGCCCCAAACCAGGCGCAAGAGCGCCCCTAGAAGGCGATGCGTAGGCTCTCGACGGGCAGCCCTGGTTGCAGCTCCCCCTCTTCACTCAGCGTCGCACATGATCGCCCCAAGAGGGCCAACGCGGCCCCCAGAAACATTGCGAGAAAAAAAACCTCAAGAGGCGCCGAAAACGCACCAATGAAGCTACCAAGAGGCAACGAAGGGGCCCGAAAGGGCCCCCCCGAGCTGCCAAGCGGCTCAAAATGTCACCTGAACCGCGGAGAAGTCGCCAAGATGCCTGAGTAGGCCCCCCAAAAGCCCTCAAGAGATGCCCCAAGAACCTCCATGCATCCAGTAAACCACTGGCTTTTCTGTTCGCCAACCTCCTCTTTGCGCGCCTTTTCCCCTTCCCTCTCCTTTCTCCCTCCTCAATCACCTTCCCGCTTCGAATGATAACGACTGCCCCTTCTTGCTCCCGCACTTGCCTGATCGCACCAGCTCGCGTGGGCATCGTTTCTAGATGAGCTGGTTGGGGCACGGGGCGCGTCAAGCACTTCTCCAATTGCTTTCCATTCGTGTCTGACACTGTCACGAATGTGGCCCAAGCCAGACTCCTGCCCCCCCTTTGCCCCATCTGCTTTGGGACACCGCTTGCTGAAAGAGATCAGCGCGCTCACCGCGTGCGAGACGTGAGACAGCACTCCCCGCACCGCCGACCCCCAAAACGGACCGTGCCCAAAACGGAACGGGAAACCCTGTCGCAGAAGGAACGAAATGGTTGACCAACAATTTCGCGCCTGTGCCTTGATCAATGAGAACGGGCCAAGCACCGCCTCACATCACAAGACGCACTCGAGCCGCGTCCAGCCAAGGCAACGAATGCCCCCGACAACGCGACAAAACCTATCGCAGCCGTGTGACATTCAGCTGCGCTTTTCCGACAGCAAGGTTGAAACCTGGAGTTCACCTGCCGCTGCCGCCCTCTGCTGCCCCGGCGGCAGCGACGGCGCCGACGACGACAACGACCCCCCCAGGGGAGACCGGCCCAGCCCTGGTTCCCCGGGAGGCAGCTGCTTCGAAGGCCCCTCGGCGTTTTGAACCCCTCGAGCCCGGGTTCGGGGCCCGAGACCGCCGAAAATCGACCCGGGGACAAAAACTACTTGAAGGGACCCGCGGGCAAGTCCGGGGCTCCATTTTAAGCCGACTTCTCCTCCTCATCCTCCGCATCCGCCTCAAGAGAAAGAGTGAGCTCGCACCTGCGTCCTCGGACGCGGGGGCCCGTGACCCACACTGTCAATCTTTGCCTCCTGCTCATCCCTCCTCCCCCTCCTCCTCCTCCGCCACCTCATCATCGTTCCTCCTCCTCCTCCTACTCTTCCTCCTCCTCCTCCCTCCCCCCTCCTCCTCCTCCTCATCCTGCTGCTCTTCCTCCTCCTCCTCCCTCCTCCTCTTTCTCTTCCTCGTCATCCTCATCCTCAGCCTCACCCTCATCTTCATCCTCCCCATCATCATCATCACCACCGCCATCATCATCACCATCATCTTCCTCGTCGTCGTCGCCATTGTCATTAACGTCGTCATCATCGTCATCATCAGCAGCATCACCATCGTCGTCATGGTCGCCGTCGTGTCAACAGGACCATCCTCGTCACCTGGCAACACACTACCCGAAAGACTCCGACCATGATAATCCGCAGTACTCCCGGACGGCATCCACCGACACCCTTGAGATATCACCGGCGTGCAACGTACTGCCCCGACTCCACCACCCGAAAAGCCCCAAGAACGACCACGGAACCCTCGGAGAGAACCCCCAAAC